ATATAGAGGATGTTCAGAAAATTATCACATGTGAAGCATTTGAAAAACAAAGTATCTTTTTTTAATTTTTAATTTTATAAAAAAAAATATTAAAAAGGTATCCCAAAAGGGAGGACGTTGAGGGGGGAATTTTATGTCTCATCTAGTGAAACATTTTCAGTTTCAATAATGATTATAATTTTTTTGTTCTATATTATTTTCTATATCAGCAAATATGCTGATATTGGAAACAGTAGGAATTGCTAATATTATACTAGAAATTATACAAAATTGTTACAGAAAAAGAGTTGAAACTATGTGTAGGAATCGGCGGAATGACGTTTGAGTAATTTTTTATTATTATCCAATATTTATGATTAAAAATAAAATTATTTAGATAAAGGTCAAACTTGAAATTTTTTATATCATAATGCAAATTTGGCTATGATAATGCAATTTAAATAAAAGAAAACAAAAATTTTAATTAAGAATGACTCAAAATAATCAACAATAAAAAAGTTTATTCTTTCCGTTACCAATTCGTGGACACATTGTACGTAAACTTCATTTATGTGTAGCATTTATAATTTTTGGCCTCGAAAATAATATAAAAATAAAGTGCTTCAAATAATTTTTATTCCACTTCTGACGTTGATACAAATTACCATTAAGGTTCATTTTCAATTACAGGTCAGTCAATTTTCTTGTAGATATTACGTTTTTATAAAATCTTGCTGATTCTTTGGGAGTTCTTGTTCTGCGTCCATCTTCGAAATCTACATGGTAGAGTCCAAATCTAATCCTATACAAATAAATATCAAATTAGAAACTGTTCTAAATCTAAAATTATTGTATATTAATTTATTACTAAAAATGAATGAAATAAAACTTTTTACTTTACTCTTTTTTACTTTACTATCATCTATTGTGAAGTTATTTTATTCCAAAAAATCGAAAACTCGCATGAAATGGAGTCAACATTATATATTTCATACAATATCATCTAGATATATTAAAAATAATATCATAAATAAAAAATAGTCATAAATAAAAAAATTAACTCTCCAAATAGCAATGACGGTAAATAAATATCTGTTATATATGGGAATACTTATTAAATATTATTGCAAATCTTCAAATAAATAATCTTCTAATGTTGTTGTTATAGGATCAATTTGAATATGCACGAGATTAAAGAATAGCAAAGTAGAAAATAAAGCACAGGGAAGCTACAGAATACGTGATAGATCTAACTAATACTTACCAAATTTCTGTTGAGAGATAGAAAAAAGATTTTTATCAAGACAAGAAATCCAAACAATCATGATAATTTCAATCGAGACGTAAGTTTAGAACGGCTAGTAACTCAAGATTTGCACCGCAAGACAATGGACAATGACACACGGCAAATAACAATTACAGCCAGAGCATTTAATCGGGTTTTTCATCTGAAGAAGAGAGCGATATGTCCATCAAAACCTCAAAACGTCTATACCTACGACATGTCATCCAAACCGGAAGTTGATTAGCTTTAGGAAAAACCCAACAGAAAATTTAACCAGGAAAAATTACAAGATTAATATTTTTGCATTTTGAGGATTGCTTGTTCAAGTGACCTCTGTTTAAATTGTAATTAATATATGTATAATTTTCTGAAAAATAATAGTAATAGTAGTAGAATTCTGAACAACTCTTACTTGTGACACGCATAGTAGTTTTTAATATTGGAAATAAATACTAGGTTGTTCACATATAAAACATATTTTTTATTTTTGTAAGTTTCAGATAAGGGTTTTAGATTTAGGTATATTTTCTTCTTATTTTCTTAAACGTATTTCAACAGGCTTTGTTATTTTAATTTTTCTTCTTTTTTTACTGTATTGTTTTTCTAAGAGTAATTTAAGGAAGTACCGATAATACTATGTTATTTTTTTACTTCTATCGTAAGTAGTATTAAAATGTTTAGTAATGTGCAATTAAGTTTTCTTTTCTTCTAATTCATTGCTACCTTGTATTATTATTATACATTACAGAAGCCAGGAAGATGCAAGATTTTCTATCTTGCCTGCATTTGCCCTGCAGATTTGGAACTAAATAAAAATAGGAAATAATTTTTTTTAAATGTTGGCACCATTATTTAACAATTTCAATATGTTAAAGTTGTGTTAGTTTTTACTCTGAATGTACTGGTGTAACTTACGAGTATCCACTGTCCCATTCAAAGCTATCTAGTAAACTCCAGGCCGTGTATGCAGTAAGTTTCACTCCATCTTCGTAAATGGCCTTCAGGGCATCATTAAGATACAACTACAAAAAATAATCCTATATGGCGAAATGATCAGAAATATGAGTATTACTGTAAATAAGAACATATTTAAAAATTGTAATTACCCGGTAATAATTTATTCTTTCCATATCGTTCAATGTGTTTGGTTCATCTGCATATCCTTGCTCGGTGATGACAATCTCGGGATTTTTGTAATGATTTTTTAAATATACCAACATCTCTCGAAATCCTTGTGGACAAACCTAAAAAGTAAAGAAAATAGTGTGTTGCCTTTCATTAAAATGTTATTATGATTTATTCTGTAAGCTATTTTTAAAATAGAATATGACAGTAGGTACTATTAGAACATAGGAAACAACCTAATAACAAAACATAATAATCAGCATGGCTTGATGGTCTCTAAAACTAGCTTCAATTTTTGAATCTGAAATGAAGTCTGAATTAAATTTTAATATGTCATATTATATTAAACTACTATCACGAAACGTACAACATAGAACACTTTTAGGGTTATTATTGTCCAAATTCACAATTATTTTATTAAAAAAACACAGTTGCTCTCATCTGTTACTACTAATTGAAATTAATTAATGTCTTAACAAATTCTTCGTAGGGACTGAAACTGTATGTATATGATAACTGGGTTGGTAACTTCTCTCTGCTTTTACTTGCTTTACTCTAAAAAGTTTAAATGTAACATATACCTTTAACCAGCTTGCCGCCGAACCCGCCCAAGAAGGGTCCTTGAATGTAGCAATGTTATGGTCATCGTCGTAACTGGATACGGTTATCCCAGAGCTGTTATTGGGCACGGTAAGTTCACTGGTGTAATGGTTTATCGCTATAAAATCGTAAGCGCCTATAATGTCTTTCTTTTCCTTAACAGTGAACGATGGTAAACGAGAAAACGGATATCCTTGGGCGGAACTGTGGTTTCCTATATTATCAATCATCCTCTGAGGATAGTCGCCGTACACTAGAGGGTGAAGAAACCATCCTAACTGAAAAAGTTTCGAATGTGTATTTATTCAGATGATTGTTAACACGTAAATAAATAAATAAAAAATTACAGTACATCCCACTATCAAAGTTGTTTCAAAATTTATGATTTTACTTTGTTACTGTCGTATTACTATTCCAAAAAAGTTAATTTATTTTATTAATCAGCAACCAGTATTAAGTCTTTGCAACTAAAATGAACTATACGTCCTGTAATACTTACACAGCCACTCAAAAAGAAAAGTTCTCTGTACTTTTCATGCGATATATGTTATACGTAGTATTTTTGGAGAAAAATAGGAAAAATACAATTTTTTTTTTCTATATTCAAATGTACATTTATATGGTTAAGAACGTGAATTCGCGGTCAGAATTGATGGTTCTTTTTCTAACCTCAAAAAAAACGGATCAATTAAGGTCAGATATCACGAATTTTCAACATATTTGCGCCAAAATTGGTATACGGGGGTTTTCAGGGTCGCTGATTACGGATCCGTGGCGGATCAATTTTGCAAAATTCCAGATGACGGATCCAAGATGGCCGACCCAATTTTCAAAAAATAATAGATTCCCGCAAAATTTGGTATACGGGGATTTTCGGGGTCGCTGATCACTAGAGTTCGGGGTTGTCGCTAGCCATAGGCGTGTTCATCGTAATCAAATAAATAAACAGGTAGGTATAAATAAAAATAAATAAATTTTTGTACTTTATCAGCGGAAGGTCGTTTTTTACCCCTTGGCGCGTTCTACATTATTAGAATATTAAAACACGTATACACGAAGCAAACGCGAAGCCAAAGACTGCCGTTATACTGATTACTAGTTCGAGGTCAGAATTGCGAATTCATTTTGTAATATTTTTATTTACTTTATAACCTGAGTACCCAATTATGTTTTAATCTTCTCTTTTTCAGCTATATCTTGTTCTTTTTTCTTTAAAAGATCTATTCACGGGTTTTCTGCCTAATCTCAGGTAATAAAGTACCTACATAGGTAATTGATTAAATTTTTAAAAACGAATTTTGTAAATCTGATCTCTGACTCGTGATCAATGACCCGGAAAACCCCCGTATTCCAAATTTAGCGCGAATGAGTTATTTTTTGAAAATTTGGTGGGCCATCTTGGATCCGCCATCTTGAATTTTGCAATATTGACCACGGATCCGTGATCAGCGATCTCGAAAACCCCCGTATACCAAATTTGGCGCGAATCTGCTATTTTTTGAAAATTCGTTATAATAATAATAATAATAATAATTGGGACTGCAGTCCGATACGGGAGGCAATCCAGCTATAGTTGAGATTTCGGAAGAATAATAATAATAATAACAACAATAATAATAATAATAATAATAATAATAATAATAATATTATCTCTACTCCTCATTCTAATTACGAGAATTAGCCCATAAGTCGGAGACTTGTGCTGGAGAGGAGGCGACATATTATTATTAGCTATGTGTGCTATTATACTGCTTTTTGTGGATAAATTTTTGTGAAAGACTGTAACTTCTGAAAATCAAATTAGTGTATGTATTATTAACATTGTTATATACATATTTTAGTTCAAATATAACAATTACATATTATGATATAGGTAACTATTTTTGCCACAAAAATAATTAGGTATGTACGATATCACATGAAAATCGAAAAGAAAAATTTTATTTTCTTTTAAATATTCTTTACCATTATGTATATAGCATTTACGTTTGTAATATTTGATTTGAACTAGTTTGCTGTACAATCATTTACTATTTTTTTAATTCTGAGTCACCATTTTACGACACCTGGCACAGTCATAAAGAAATAAAACAAACAAGCAAATTTTTTTTAAATAAATTATGCCTATTTCGCGTATGTAAACGTTGTATAAACGTTTTAGAAATATCTATGTAAACACTCTTACAAAAAAATGTTTTGTAAACATCCTTTCGGCTTCTATAAAAAATCAAATTGGAATTTGTACAAACTGATACAGAATTTCTTGATGTAATTCTAATCAATGATGAGAAATCAACAGGGGCAGAGTACAGGGAAGATCTAGGGCACTTAATAGATCTAAGATGTAGTAAGAAAAAGCTGATTTTGGCCAAAACTCTATGGAGAAACAAAATAAATCCAGAATTATTTCAACCGAAACGAGGGTTTGAATTAATTGAAATTTGGGAGAAATTACGGGCTGGAATATTAAAAGTCAGTGACTTTAGATCATACTGTCAATGACTGCAATAAAATATAAATACCGACCAATGAACTAATTTCCAATATCAGAGTTTCTTCTGAAGAAGAGAACGATATGTTTATCGAAACCTTAAAAAGTCTAACCCGACGACGTGGCAATCAACGAGGAAATTGATTTATTTCATACTGTACGGTAAATCCTTGTTAATGCAATTAATTTTAGTCCAGTAAATGCGCTAATACAGTATCAGAGCCAGTAAGAAATAGTTAGGCTACTTACATGACTTCTTTCTGAATACAGCGTCAAAACACGGACTATCCGTAAAAACGTAATTTTTTAAATAAATATAATTGAGACAAAACAGAACAACACTTAAAACCTAATTAATTATTATTATTAATGTAATAGTACAATTTGAATTTTATACAAATTTAATTTCTGGTATCCCACAGATTAACTGTAGAAGTAGAAATCTTGCTTTGCTGCTGTTACAGTACCTGTTCTTTACATTTATTCTATGACATTTTTAGACTGTACTCCAAAGTACCGTCTAAAGATCTACAAAAAGTTAAATCCTTTTACCTCACTCATTAAAGTAGACAATCGTTTTGTAGTTGATATCTTTGTACGACGAATGTAATTAGTAACTGTGATTCTATATCTTGCATCCTGCTGTACTTAGCATTGGAGCTACCTAAATTATATTAAAATATATTGATAAAATCATATTGCTTCAATAACTTGTTTAATTATTTTTATTAAAAATGGTTTATTCCCTTCTTCTGAGAATTTTCGACAGAATAGGTTGGCATCCAACTGACTGTTTTTTCAAAGCTGCTTTCAATTTTAGAAAATGTGAAATTATCACATAATCATGTGGATATACACTGCCATAGTGAGACTGGTGAGACTAATGTTGGCCTACGGAACTGTTGTCTGGTGGTCAAAAGCCCCACAGATAGCAGCTAAACAGATGCTATGCTTTGCTTCCAAAACGTTGATGTTAAACCAGATGTAGGCTGCGGAGAAGTCAGGTGTCGCCTATGGAATGACGCCATCAGAAAGACCCTTCTGAGGGCAGACATTGACAGCATTTCTCATCAATAATGAGGGGTAGACTGCAGTGAGGGTGTAATTAACATCTGCACAGACGGATCAAAAAAAGAAAGAAGGTATATGATGTGGAATCTATTCTAGACCCTGATATCAGCGGTATGGATACCGTGCTACCGTGACACAAGCGAAACTGACGGGTATAATAACCATGGCTGCTAAAGAAATTGTCTGTAGGCGGATAACGGGGAAAACTATTAGAATCTACACAGACAGAAGACAATCATTACTGATCTTGCGTAATCGGAAGATAATGTCCGGGTCTGTATGGGAATGACATCAAGCGCTGGTGGTGGCCTCAGCTGCAAACAGCTTACTTATACGCTGGGTTAAGTGCCACAGCCAGTGCAATGGCAATAAAGTAGGTGATAAGTTAGCTAGGAGAGGATCTTAATATTTTTGGACTTGGTCCATACAGTGTGCTTTCGTTATCAGCGCTTTTTGAAATGATTAGGGAAGACACCCACAAAGACATCACAGTAGGATGAAACAAACAGCTGTCGATTTGCTAAGGAGTTCTTGAGATACCTTTGTAAAGACAGCCAAAAAGTACCTGGCTATGTGCAGGGTAAGCCTTCTCTTTGCGACGGGTATTCAGACCGGACAGTGCTGGTTATGGAAACATCTCCACAATATGAGGAAACACCCTTTTGTAGAGGTTGTGGACAAGAAGACAAGACAGTTTTCTATGTACTCTGTGAGTGCACTGGTGTCTCGTCAACAAGAGAATCCGTGTTATGAGAACGATGGCCTACTTTAGAGAGATCTCCCTGAGCAACGTCATCACCTTTTTCTCTTTAATAGGTTGGTTGACGGCTCAGGAGAGCTGATCTCTCGTAGGGAGGAAGCACAAGGGGTCCAATGAGGCTTAAGTGCTGTAATCAGTACAGCGGAGTTACCCCCCAAACAGATCCAGAATCCCGAATCCAGACAATTTCAAATAAATAAATCAACAGCAACTATATATATCTACCGTTCTTGTGTAACAAAAACACGTAATCAAAATGCGGATAGATGAACCATACAATATGATTAAGATGCAATTTAGTTAAATTACGAAATATCAAATGTGAAATATGAAATAAAATGTACGCTATACATTCATCAAATGATGTGTTACTGTCCTCGTTTAGAAATTTCGGACTCGGTTCCTATGCCGCGTCGCCTCTTCCATTTACGTTACATCTAAATCGTATCACTTAACGCAATTGCAACGAAAATAACTATAATGGCTGAACCATGTAAGCTTGCAAACCAAACATACGATATAGTCGAATGTTATTTCATATTTAAAGAGATAAAATACAAATTTTCAACAAACTTACATCGAAGTCTCTTTTCGTTTGAGCTGCATTTACATCTGCTTCGGAATCACTTGCTGGCATTGAAAAGTCGGTATTTAGGACAATACTAATTCTACCTACAAAATAATACATCTTTTATAATTTGCACGTCTTTTTTATGAACTAATCATTAAAAATCTACTGATGGCAAATACTGTAACGAATTAAAACATATGCAATTATAACCCATGAGAATATTAACTAATATTTCTGTTTCCTCTTTGTAAATATTTTCGTTATTCAACCATTGTTGGCTATAGCCTTGATGCGTAACAGACATGAAAACATGTTTTGGTACTTAACACAATTATTGATACTAAGTTGACTATAGCGTGTTCTTAATTATACTTGAAATATATTGCGTGTCTTACCTTTTTGAGATGATTTATACTTTTCCTCGTACAGTCGGTACGTTTTCGCATGTGCCCTTAAAACGTTATGGCCACATAAGTATTCCGTTACACCAGTTGGTACGCTCACTTGTCCCAAAAAACGTACTGCATTCTTGATAAAAGTGGCGCAATACATAAGAGGCTCATTGATAGTGAGCCATGTTTTAATTCTATCTCCAAACAGTTGAAATAACAAGTCGGCGTAGTCCGTGAAGTACTCCACAATGTTAGCGTTGTTCCAGTCTCCTAAATAGTATATTGGAAATGGTGTATCGGCATGGAATATTGTAACCTGTACAGGAAAGATAAAACCATTAAAGTAAGCAGATCAAATATGGGTGACATATAAACTACAAAATATGCTATATCTGAATTGTCAATGCCTAATCGAATTTTGAGGGTTGCTTTTGGTGTGTAGCAAAATAAAATTCTAACAACGGTAAAAATAAAAATATTTTTATTGAAAACAAGTTAGTGAAAAAGAATAAGTGTTGTCTGGGCGAGCGTTCGCTGGAGAGTCTTCGTGGTGTGGAGTCGCTCGCAGGTATAAGTATCTGGTCCTTGACGCCAATCTGCCGTGGTCCTCTTCTGGGAACCATATCCCGCGTTGCACATTGTTTCTTGTCGCTTACAGCGGTTAGGCCGTCCGGCGTCAGGCTGGCGATCTTGATGTAATGCTTAAAATGGAGCACTTGCGGACATGTTTATTGTTTACCTTACTTTGTATCTACTGAGGAGTGCGACCCAAGAATCTTTAGGTACTATGAAATCGTAATTAATGCTGCACTAGGTGAAATGATCTTTTTGACTAATAATATTTTGGGAAACAGCTACTGCAACAGCATTGAATTATATTCACAATATATAGCTAGACACCTAAGATCATCTGTCAGCAGAGTCACCATACAAACTCTGGTTTCGAACTTATTAGTCAGTACGTCATAGGCGAGACAATAGACGAAAATGTAGTTATTTAGATTTCTATCTATCGACACATGTGTTGGTGTGACTTTAGCTTTTTACTAGCTTGAATAGCATTGATACTTAAAATATAACATCACATAAGCTATACCTTTCCCATACTAAAAACATGTTGATGGCTAGACATTTAAATAGCTAGATTATTCGACGGCCTTGGTGAAATCGATCTACGTCTGGTGATTTTGACGAATCTTAGCTGTTTACTGGATATTACGGGTATAGTCCAGTGCTAGACGGGGCTACATATGATAAAATTCGAGTGGAAAATATTACTATTAGAAGTAGATCTACATGTCAACAAATAACCGAATATAACTTATAGGTACATAATTGAAATTATAAAAAAATCGGCATTTTAGTGATTCTAAATTTGCTAATTTTTCTAGGGCTACTAGGCGTATATTATGAATAAGATACCTATGTCTATGAAAGTCGTTCTAACTTGTGAGATATTTTAGTTATGACTCACTTTTGGTATAAATATTAATCTTTTATTCAATATAATTTTCTTTGAGAAGATAAAATATAAAAAGTATTAATGAAACTGATTTTAAGTAGAAATACTGACTCAAATAAATCTCAGCATATTGAGTATAAACGTTATTTTCACGAAGAAAATAGTATCGAAATTTTTTCAATTTGCCAGATTTTAGCTAGACATCTATTTATACGTTTTATATTGCCGTCATTATGTACTACTGACTTAAATGATACAAAATTTAGGAAATACTGAAAATTTATTAATTATTGAGAATTTTGTACAATCAGAAAATTTTTTTCTGTATACTTAGGTGAAATAAATGAAAAATTAATTAACTACAGGGTGTTAATGAACTTATGTCAGATATTTTTGCCACATGTCCGTTATATCAAAATGAGGTAAATACACGGATTTGTGTTGAATAAAATGTAATTTTGATTTCTGACTTACCTAAACATTGCAAGGAGCCTCCTTTTGAGAACTGCTGATTTTCATAGATGATCGATGTACCCACCATTTGCTTGCACACAAACTTCAGTGCGACGTATCCAATTCGCTCGCACGCGTTGCAGCATTGCCACGTCCTCTCGAATCGTATTACAAGCTTCGGCAGTACGAAGTCGCAGTTGGTCGATGTCAAGAACTTCCGTGGAATACACAACACTTTTCACATATCCCCACAAAAAGAAGTCTAAAGGGGTGAGGTCCGGAGATCGGAGGGGCCATCTAACTAGTCTGCCGCGGCCTATTCAGCGATCGGGAAAAGTAATGTTTAAAAAGTCGTGCACTCTCCAAAAAAAGTGAGCGGTGCCTCCGTCATGCAGTAACCACATATTTTGCCGAACATTTAATGGCATGTATTCCAATAACTCTGGCAAACGATTTTGTAAAAAATCTAGGTACTTATGAAGCACCATCTAAGCGTCTAGACATGCTTACTGAAAACTGTTGCTGAAAGGATTTTCGATAGTCCAGTGAGTGTTGTGGATGTTATGTACATCTTTTCGACTGAAACATGTGGTCAAGACATAGCAGCGTTGTTTTTCGTTTTTTGTGGTAGTAGGTTGTTTACTGTCATAGTGACAAATTTTACATATTTTTCGAGTCCGATAAATAAATCTTGCAAGCCTGTCCGATTGCTTCCCAAGTTATATACCTGCTCTAATACAAAAATACAGTCCACTAACAAAAAGGGTCTTTCATTATCAATACAACATGCTTCATCTGTAACAAGTATTTTCACTGCAAATTGAGAATTTCTTGCATGTTACTGAAGCAACCATTCGCAAAAACCTGGATGTAGTGGAAAATCCTCAGGAGTAAGTGCTTGAACACGTTGAATTAGAAATGGGCACAACTGAGCTTCTCGTAATGTCCGCCACACAGCAGAATGCGAAATATTTACTTGCTGTGCGATATTTCAGGTGCTACGATGCGAATCATCTTCGACGAGATCTAAAATCATCTCGACATTTAAGATTCTTAGTGGTCGTTTTGGGCTACCGTCGCGACATCGACGCGATCGTACTTCATCGGTATCCATAGATCTAGAGGCCTATCTACTATGGATCATGCTGCTTGGGATTCCCAATGTCCCATCTTCATAGGAAAACTTGAAAAGTTCAAATCAGACATGTTTGGCATAAAATAGCAATTAAATCAGATTAATTACGCTAATGTGCATCCTAATATTGGTTCTGCATTCGATCAATCAACTCATCACAGGAATAATAAAATAAAAAATTTAAATATCTATTATCATAATGTTCGCGGTTTAAACACAAAACTTATCAACCTGTGTAATGCTTCTATCGATTGTTCCTTTGACGTAATTGCATTTAGCGAAACGTGGTTGAACTCATCCGTACTTGACTCTGAAGTATTTAACGATGACTTTGTAGTTTTCAGATCTGACCGGAAGTTTGAACAAACTAACACTAAGACCGGTGGTGGGGTTCTAATAGCGGTAAAGAAAACATATCATGCGATCTATATTGACTTGTCAGGGTTGTCTGGTGCGTTGCCTGTGGTCGATGCGTTAGCTTTGAAGATTAGTATATCTTCTAAAATATGTTATCTTATTGTGGTTTATTTTCCGCCAAGTTTAGGCTCAGACGTATACGATATCTTTTATGATCACATATCTGGTTGCATGGACTTTTTGAATGATGACAATTTAATTATCCTGGGTGACTTTAATATTCCTCAATTTCACAATCTACAGTGTGACCCATCGCTGCATAATGAATTAATGGTGTCCATAAATAATTTTTCGAACTTCCTAAATCTTGCACAATATAATCGAGTATTGAACTCTCATAATCGCTTACTTGACTTAGTGTTTAGTCGCACAAATCTTTCTATCACTAGATGTTTGGAGCCGCTATTACTTGAAGACGGATACCATCCTGCTCTTGAAATTGCCTTTACATTAGGTGTGATTGAAACTAACGTTATAAACCCATTGCAACCCAGGTACAATTTTCGTAAAGCTAACTATCTAAAACTATATGACGATCTACTTAATATTAACTGGGACGATCTTATGCATGAGGAAGATGTTGACAGAGCTTGTGAGATTTTTTATTCTAGGGTTAAGGCATGTATTGCTAGTAGTGTTCCTAAAACAGTTCCAAAGAATAGTTCGAAGTATCCATTGTGGTACACTAAGGACATAATAAAAAAACTGAAGCTGAAGTATAGATTATGGGCTGAATATAAGAGATCTAATAATAATAATAATATCTATGCCGAGTTTAGTAACTTACGGGCTGAAATTAAGAGGGATGTTCATCAAGGCTACTGCAATTATATTTCCAATATTGAGCAGCAAATAACATCTGATCCTTCAAAGTTCTGGTCCTATTTGAATTCCAAGAGGAAAGTAAACGGTATTCCCAATTGCATGAATTACAATAACACATGTATGGATAATCCCCGTGATATTGTAAATGCTTTTGCTGGTTACTTTCAATCAAATTTTATTGTGTCTTCGACACCAATCTTCAACAATCAGCCGATTTATTGTTCCTCTTGTAGCATTCCCACATTTTCTGAAAATGAGGTGTTATTTGCCTTAAAGAAATTGAAACCCAAATTTACAGCCGGACCTGACGGACTACCCGCTTTCCTCTTTAAGGATTGTGCGCCAACATTCGCTAAACCATTATGCTTTTTGTTCAATCTATCCTTAAAGGTAGGCAAGTTTCCTATTATGTGGAAATCGGGTCGAATTTGTCCAATCTTTAAAAAGGACAACAAGAGTGATGTTGAAAACTATCGCCCCATAACTATTATTAATAATCCTTCAAAAGTTTTCGAAACTCTTATATATGAAACTGTATTTTCTCATGTAAAGTCTTCTATATGTACCGAACAGCATGGCTTCTTTCCAGGTCGATCAACGGTCACCAACTTGACATGTCTGTCACACTATATTTCCACGCATTTGGATAATAGTGGTCAGGTTGATGTTGTTTATACGGACTTCTCCAAGGCCTTTGATCGGTTGGACCATGGTATTCTACTGTCAAAACTCTCCAATATGGGATTAACTCATTTATTTAGTCAATTCTTTCAATCTTATCTATCTCAGAGGAAATTGACAGTGGAGTATCGTGGTTTCCGATCAATGGATATTAATGCTACATCTGGAGTCCCACAAGGGTCAGTTCTCGGTCCGTTATTGTTTCTGGTTTTTATTAATGACATTACGTTGAACCTAAATTGTAACGCCCTTCTGTACGCAGACGACCTTAAATTGTATTTATCCGTGGGTGATCTGAATGACTGTCTACGGCTTCAATCTGATGTAGATAGAGTTAGTAACTGGTGTGCTACGAATTTATTACCTTTAAACTTATCCAAGTGTAATTCCATGACTTTCACTAGAAAGATTAGCCCGATTACGTATAATTATTCTGTTGGTAATAACTTGATTAGGAAATGTAGCTCTTTTAAGGATCTTGGTGTAACATTTGATACTAAACTAGACTTTAATGAACACGTTAATAATATTCAACGTGAAGCATATAGAAATCTTGGTTTCATTGTGAGGAATTCACAACAATTTACGGGAATTAAGGCAGTATCCTTATTGTTCAATGCATTTGTTCTCCCCAAACTGGAATATGCCTCTCTAGTATGGAATTCACATTATATAGTTCGCTGTAAAAGACTTGAGAACATTCAACGGAGATATGTAAAATATTTATGGTTCAAGTCTGATGGCTGTTATCCACCACAGGGTATACCTCATGGTACTTTGCTTGGACGATTTGTCCTTAATGACCTGGCTACACGACGTATGTGTAACTCACTAATAACCCTGTATAAAATCATTACTGGATTGATTGATTGTCCGGATCTTTTAGCTGCCTTGTGTTTTCATGTTCCCCGCACTGGAACCCGGTCTTCGTCTTTGTTCTATCTTCCCACACCTCGAACGAATTTATTAAAGTTTTCACCGTTGTATACAATGGTTGAAAATCACTCTCGAATGCAGAACCTTGTGGATATTTTTCATGATAATATATCCCATA